CGGGCAGACCGAAAACCGTGTCCAAATCTCCATGCAGCATGGGTTCATCTGCTGTTCCTGGTCCAAATTATTCCAAAAAAATTGTTTTACCTTCGATTCGCTGCCCCCAGTCGCCTCCCGTGCCCACAGCATTTTTCTCCCGGCGATGTCGATGGCCACAGCGACATATCAAACGGCTCACCCTTGCACCCACTCGTGTCGGCATTAGCAGATTGGCCTCGGTGCTTGTAGCAATCATCTGGGCATTGGGGGTTGCCTTCCTGATCCAAAACACCCTCATAGATAGTACCCAGTGAGTCATCGTCCCAGTCCATGATCGACTTGTCGCGCACGGCAAAACCCACCACAGTGATGTCAATCTTGTCGATTGGACAGCAATTGTAACCCACTAGCCAGCGGTTCCAGAGGTTGATCTGCTGCTCGATCATGGCCTGGAACTTGGATGCCACGGCCTTGGTCAACTTCTTATCGTTCTCCCAGCGCACGCAGTAGCTGAGCTTGCCCTTGTTGTTCACTAGCTGGTCGAAGATGAGGTTCTGGAACGCAGGAGTGGTAACGTACTCCTTCATCGTGTTTTCCCATACCCAGTCGATCTGCTCACGGGTGACCCCACCCGTGTTCGGACTACCGATAACGCACTTGCTGCTGCCCGATGTGATGTCACCGAACGTAGCGTGATCAACAGAAGACGTTGTGTTTGCTACAGCCGCATGGGTAGTGCTGCAGGCGGCTAAGGCCATCAGCGTAGAGGTCAAAAGGTGCTTGGTCGAGGGGCGAGAAGATTGGGAGCTTGGAGTCATAGTGAAGAAATCGAGAATGCCACGTGCGGGGTAAGATGTTTTTTAGCCAGGAGCAGAGTCAGCAGTTCCATCCGATCGACAGTCATTCTATGAAAAAGCATGTTAGCCAGTCGTGGGGTCAGTACGAATCTGTTTTGGTGATTCCCGTATACATACAAGTATTACCAGAGATTTGCAGCCTGCAGTCGACACTTCGTCTCGAATACTATCACTATTCAATATACCATTTGCATGCACTGGTGCGTCGTTGAAAAATTAACAATCCAGAAGTACTGGTAGTACTGCTCATGTGCCTCAAAAAGTAATGTCAATTAACGAATACGATCTGTCGTATGCGAAGGTCAATTCCAACTTTCCAGCTGACACGATAACATTTTTGAATAACGTGATGCTAATCAAACCATGCTATCAGGTTCAAAACCTCTGAGAGCCAAAATCTAGGCAAAGCCAAATGCAGTTTACGATGCGTGCGCATTGATTTCGGGCTTTAATCAGGGACCAAGCGTGGCCTCATAAAGCTCGGCTTAGGGTCCGAAGTGTTCTCAATATTCGTTACCCGCGCCGCATTTCTAATGCGGCTCTCTACGAAATCTGCGAGGAGCGCTCACTACGGCAACGGATCACAGCAGCCCGATGGGGGATGCTCGGCCACATTCTTCGGCGACAAGACATCCCGGCATATCTCCAGATGAAGGCGTACTTCGCACCTATCGAAGCAGGTAAGTGGCGTGGCAAACCCCGCACCACGCTTCCCGTTATTCTTGATGCAGACCTCGCTTCCAGTGGCTCCGGATTCCGCCTAAGGACTGAACAAGGCCTCTACGAACTTCAACGGCTCGCTGACCACCGTGGCAATTGGAAGGAACGCTCGACTAAAATACGTTACTCTCAACCTATGACTGGAGACTCGACGTATGCGGACACCACTCCATGCCGCCGACTAGCAAAGGTGAGCCTAGCGCAGGTGTAATTGCATCTTGCCTATTGTGCTGGTACAATTGCGACTAGATAAAAAGACGTTGAGTTATCCAGCATAATGGATTTTTGTTAAGGTGGACCTGTCTACTTATTTAAAAACAATTGCGTCACTGTAAGAAGAAAACATGGTTTTGGTTCAAAATGACTCGCAACTAGAATTTAAGTAAAACTAGCTAGGCACCATATAAGGCAAGAAAAGCTTAAGACTTCTACACCGTTTCCAGACCCCTAGTCTAACGCGAAGCACCGTAGTGTATGAGGGAGAACATTTGACAAGAAATAACATGTCATCGAAGCAACATTTGGCAAGAAATAACATGTCATTGAAGCAAGTGTTGAATCTGGTCGATTATGGCATTGGTGTGCTTCGAATGAACAATTTGACTGGTTTTGCTGACGATTAAGCCTTAAATTAGGCCATGAAGACGGAAACATTTGATGATGGCTGCCGGTCGGGATTTTGTAAGTTCTATAGAAAAGTTTGAATGGCGTTACTGCAATGTCAATTACGTCACTACAACAACAACAAAGCGACATCAAAAGCAATACATATACATGTACCTCGAAGTAGCAAAACATAAGCCCTAAAACCAAGCCCGGGGCCTTTTCATATCTTAGGACATCTAACAAGCGGTGACAGGGCCCTAGGTAAGGTAAGGTATTACGTGTTCGCGTAGCCCCTTATCGAAAGCCCGTAAAAATGTAGCATGCCACATAGTTGTGTAGAAGCTGTGTTGCGTGATGTTGCGTGATGTCATCGGACATTTGCTAGGCAACATTTTGGAGCGAGACTGTCCATACAGCTCTTCTAGCTGCTCTCGCACAATATTTAATAACATTTTATTATTTGTAAATCCAGGAGACTTGTTTGGATCAAACCGACGTTGTGATTTGGTGTCTGTTTTTTTGGCTATTGGCGAGCTCCAAGAGTTTATTCCGGATGCCCCGTTTCTTCGCGATTTAAGTGTCGTTAGTGGCGCAGAATGGCAGATAATATAGCCCCCGAAGGTACCCACTTACGTGTGATATGGGCGGGCGGGGAAAGGAAACGTGACGCTGTGGCTATCACTTTAGCACTCTCGGATTACAGTGCCCCCCCCCTAGCTAAGATTGAGGTAATTCAATCTCTGCGGTGTTAGGCTACCAGACCAATTCTTTAGCACGCTTTGGTTTTCTGCAGTCATATTGATATCTACTAGCCGAGCGCCGCCGCTATGCGGCGGTAGTTTAGGCTTAGCTCTACTTGCTTTGGCCTTCCCGCCTCCGCTTCGCTTCGGCGGGATAATTATTTCAAAAACTATGAACCCATATGTGCCTAAATCGACTTCATTAATTTCATAATTCTGGGTTTAATTTAGACCAGTCGCTACAAAACGCTGAGCTCCCAGTAAGCCGTGCAATTATTTCTACAAAAAGCTGAGCCCCTAGCATCACACTTACCATGCTAAAAAAAAGATTATTCTGGTGATCTTGACACAGTTTCTTTATTATTGTTGGCTACTACATAAGTACTGTCGGACATTCGTCAGTCATCGCTATTTTCATGAAGTCTGATAGGTTTATCTAGAGAGCATCATACAGTCCGTGTTGACTCGGGCACATACTTGCCGTGTCGTGCTGGCATTAATGGCGAGTATGTGCCCAACTTAAGAATCACCAGCACTTCAAATAGCATGTCTTTAGCCGATATTGAATATATTTAGCTTGGCGTCGTGCTCGATATCATGGGCCGTTCTAAGGCGCTGTGAAATTTAGCCCGCATCAATGCAAAGGATAGTAATGGTCAATCCAGGCTGCACTTCTTACCCGCTTGTACTGCCTATTTGAGCCTGTAAGTAACTAAAAACCTGCTAACTTCTCACACAAAACTCACTGAGAGCTAGAAAATATTCGAATTATAATATTTTTATGCATGCAGCGTTCATTCTGTGCTGATTCAAAAGTCATTGGACAGTCGAGCCTGTCAGTTATGATTAAAACATTAGGATAATGCGTCGCAAGACGCTTGGCGGTAGCGTTTTTTTATTTGATAGGCTAATTAAGATGCCAAAATGGTTTAACGATCAGCTATATCCTAAGTTTAACGTTTTGTTATGGTGTCTAATTAATTAACTCTCATGTTGTGCTGTTGTCTATCCACTCCATTTAAAACAGTATCCTTCGCCCTTGTCGGTGACACGTCCGCCAGTTAAATTGTATCGGATTTTGCTGTCTAAACAACTCTTAGAAAACAATGGCTTACAGCAGTAACACATATGGGTTCATCTAAAACTATCTATCTTTATGAATCAAGTGACAGCGTTTATTAGCACAGCGTTGCTCTTACGGCCAGTTTCTGTTGTACATGTACTACTATTTGGTAGCTCAGTGAGTTACCTCACTCTCAGACAGCTTATTAGTATTTCTACTTGTAGTTATTAAAGTCATTGTAACTTGCAGAAACTATCATGTACATAGTACTACGTATATTAATAGTATGGCCTAGACAGCATTCCTACGTGTACGCTAACTTCTTTAGGAGCTTTTTCACTAGAGAATAAATAGCACTCAAATATTAAAAGCACATGCAATATTAAAATAGAAAATATAATACTTCTTTGTATTAAAACGATGCCGCCTTGTCTCCATTTGTGCTCTGTGAACCACATCACGTTACTGATGTAAGCTACATAATTCGGTTTTAACCAATCGAAGCCGCCTTCACTCCGCTAGGCAGCCAATGATAAAGCTCAAAAACCTGAGCGTTTCGTGTGACGGACGGACAGACACCGTGCTAGCCTTGATACTTTAGGACTAGCCGTTCGCCGCCGCTACGCGGCGGAGTGGCTTGGTTTGTTGGAGATGAGGTGGCCGCAAATTTAGTGCTCTTGGTTTCGCGTGCTTTGTGAGCGTCGTTCACCCAGTAGATCTTGACTTCGTGTACTTAACCACTTACCTTTCCGTAGTCTCATCCGGCCCCGTATAATATCGTGCTTTGGTACGTTTCCGTTGCCCCGTACTACAGGTTGGATGTTGTGTCCTTTAATGACCCATGCTCTTCCGTGCTCTTTCTGGCTTCGTGGTTCCCTGCTCACCCGTGGCACACGCTGCTTAGTGGGTACTTTCTCTCTCTTTTGGACCCATGCTCTTTAGTACGGCCTCATTTGTGGCTGCTAACTATTCCCTGTTCTCAAACGTTTTCGTGGGTTGCACCGGCTTCGTGAAACATCGTATTTTTTTGTTGTTAGCCTCCCATCGCCGGTAAGCTAACAGAAGGGTGATATTCCGTGGTTTGGTGCCTCCACGTAGTCGCGTTGTTCAGTCGCCCGTGTATCGTGCTCTCCTGGTGAGGTTCCATCGGCCGCGGTATCACACTATCGTGCAATCACGGTGTGGTAATGCTGTCTATGGTATTGTGCTACGTAGTGTATCTGCGCTGTCCGTGCTATCGTGTTCTAAAATGGCATCGTGCTCCACAGTGTGCAGTCGTGGTCACCCCAAGCGCCCACCTCCCCGTTTATTTCGTGGCTGGTCCGCCGTCTGTGCAATCTAGTTCTAATGTAGTACTCTCCTTCGTAGCCCGGTAAGCTCAGGTTCAACACTGGTATCGCTCTCCGCGGCGCTGTGGTTTTCCGTGTATAGCTCCGCGACTGCGTTCTCCCATGGCTTAGTGACACAGTCCATGTTATCGTGCTAGCTTGTAGTGTCGCGGTTGGTCTTTCGTCAAAGCGAACGTTAGCTACCGTAGTATCGTGCTGTGAGACTCGATGAGCTCCGATTCTTCCCTACTATCGCGTCCCAATACTCGGTGATATCCCGCTTATGGTCTCCCGCGGGTTCATGTTTGGTCTGTTGACTGTGCTCCGTGTTTATCCGTGGTGTTGCTGATGAAGTGTTTCTGTTCACTCTTACCGTTACGTGTTCTACCGTGGCTTCGAGCGTGCGTGCTCTTTCGTAGCCCGTGCATTCCGGCATGCTGGGGTGTCTACGTATTAAGTTCCCTTCTGTGGCCCGTCCGCTCCCGTCATATTCTTGTCCATCTGTCCTTTTCATGGCTGCGTGCACTTCCATCTTTCACGCTACGTAAAACACTTCGTGGTTTGCATCGGCTAAATCTTCTATCATCGTCCATGACCTTCCGTGCTTCGTGTTGCTCTTTTATCCCGTCGTGTTTCGTGTTCTTGCTGAGTCACGTGCCTCCGAATCACAAACGCTGTTCCCATTTTGTTTAATGTACGCAACATATGTTGTTAGAAAGCTGACATAATATCTTAAGGTCACACACTACGCGCGCAAATACAAAGGAAGGTGATATTTCTCCCGGAAGCAGTGTGGGGTGCAGGGGTGTAAGCCACAATAGTCATATTTTAAAGTTTCCACGTTATTATTAATAGTAAAACAATTGATATTTATTATTAAACGCTGATATAATTATTATGTGTACTACTAATACAAACGACTGCGAGCAAAAATATGAGTTGCCTTGATTATAGTACTATGCAAAAAAATGTTGCAAGTTAAATTAGTACAGCAGTACTACGAAGCCTAAAACATTATTCTATATCCATTAAGTACTAAAGTTTCGATTGAGGCCGAAATATAATTCGACAAAGCCTACACTTTTTTTCAGCAGCTCCTACCATGATATAGTACGTGTGTGCTTATCGGCGCCTTTTAATTATGCTAACTAACGCGTACACAGGCAGCGCCCTTTGCGTGGCCTTGCATACCGCAGCTGAAAATGAGAGCAAAATGAAATTTAAGCGGTGCATTTAAGTACGATGTGTAGACCACATACAGTGTGTACACCATATAATGTGATTTTAGCCAATCGACGCCGCCTTCGCTGCGCTCGGCAGCCAGTAGAACGCCCGCATTTGCGTTACTTTAATTAACCCTAGCCGCGGATGGACTGACAGACAACACACAAGATAGTTTCTCCACGTTTGAGTTAGCAGTCATCGGTACACTAGTCCCAATTATCTTCGCCATTCTTACGTACTACCGTTAGATATCTTTAAGTGCATATGAGTCAACGTCAAGCTTTGGGCTGAAAGTCATTCGAGGCTCAAGACTACAAAAGCACCATTTTCTATTCTCGCTCTAACTACGTCACTTATCTTCGTCTTCGTTTAATTGAAGAAATGCTGATCAAGCTTGACCTCAAGCGTACCTAGTAAAAATAGTATCGCCTCAAAATCATCCCCAAAAGTTCTGACTCTGGTTGTAAATCTCCAACAATAGTTCAATTGAGTTGAGAAAACGTAAGATGCAATCGCCGACGTTATGGGGGAGACTTTTGATTGGATGAAAACAGTTATTTTAACGCTGAGTCGTGCACTAGAAAGTTTACTCTTCATCACGCACTGACGAGTTCCCTGTAGCACAGGTACTATTGCTGTGGCGCGTGCGCCGCTTCCGGCGCCTAAGTGGCCGCCCACATATGCCATCCGGACTTCTCTGCTCCTGGCCGGCTTCCCTGATGAGTCTTAGTACTGTGGTGAGCTTGATTTGGGCATTTCTCCGTTTTCGTTTGCTTGGCCTTAACTCCAGTGTGTTGTACCCAATCTTAAGCAGCTCGATGGCATGAACTTCGTCACGGATGGCCGGCATCGGTTTTCCAAGGTCTTTTTCAATCCCGTTTATGATATGCCGCATCATAACTGACCACTCTGACAGTGTTGCTTTCTTTTGTGGCGTGTCCAGATCGTCCGATGGTATACCCTTGTATGGTGGATAGTTAAGCTCCGGATTGCCGAACCACCACAGTATCCACGCCCCCAGCGGATCGATACTTGGAAAGGCGAAGTCTTTTGGAAGCACGTGAAATTTCCCACCCCATGTATGATAATAGCGAGTTTGTGCTGTCGATAAAGTTGATAAGGCCGCTGATTTCTCTTTTTGAAGCCCAACCTCTTCTAATAACGCTCTTAATTCCTCATGCAAAAGGTCCCTCGTTATATTACCCGCTGCCACACCTTTCTTTTCCAATATCGCTTCCATTCTTTGCTCAAGTTTATCAGGAAGTAAGTCGATAGACTGCTGCTGCTTATCAAGTTTTTTGTAGAGCTCAATGTAGGGCGGAATACCTGTCGGGTGCATCCAGCTCGAATCGCCAAGTTGAAGTTGTTCTTGTAGGCTGTGAAAAACGCTCACATTCGTAAAGACTATTGTCGAGAGCAGAGGGTGGTTTGTTGGTAAACTCTGCTGTAAATATTTCCTGTGAAAAACCAGCGACGCCAGACATAACTGTAAAATGCCGTTTAAATTAGGTTCATCCGCAAGACTCGGAAAAACCGTTCTCATCACTGATGTTGTTGCGCTATCACCGGTGGAGTTAAAATGTGGCGGTAGTGTAGCAAATTTTGAATCGTTTATAGGCAGCCCAGCAACGACGCGACCTAAAAATTGGTCTCCTGCTGCTTCGTAGCGGAAATAGCGATCCTGAACTCCACCAAGTGACCAACCACAGCGTAAACAAACACTCACAATTGAAGGACCCCCAGTACTTCCACCGCACGCAAATGTCGCGACACCTTTTCGTACCGAGTGAGTACCATAGGTTTTTGCGGAGCCATCGAGTTTTAGAAGACTACCCAAAGTCTTACTAAATCGAAGCTTCTGGTTGGACCCTGGGAATAGTGGCCCCTGTTGCAATCTCGGGTGGCACGCCAAGTAAATTGCGAGCGCTGTTACCCAGCACGTAGAAGGACTTAGCGGATTCGCGTAAACGTGACGAGGATCACGCGGCCCAGTGCCTTCCTGATTCGTTTTTGTCTTGACAAATATTACACCAATGCCATCGTCTTTAGCCACAAAATGCTGAGTTTGTACGGTTTGAACAGATATTGATCTGCACATTAAATTCCATTGGGATATTAGGAAGAGATGAGAAAAACCTCCATCACCAAGTTCCAAAGTTTCTTTACAGAGCTTCTGGTAAAGCGAGTAGGTCAATGGCTGCTTCCCGGACGTCTTCGGGTTACTAATCTGGTCACTATCAGTTTCCATGCGCTTCATTCCCGAGAAAAGCTGTTTCATTCCATCTCCATATTCAGGCGGCAAAGCTAGACGCCTCACTCTATACAGGTCCTTAATTGCACTCCGATAACCACTTAGTGTCCCAGCTTTCACATCACGGCTTTTGTAAACAAGAAACTGCTCAAAATACGGAGGCGTGAACTCCAATAGATTAAGTTCACCATTGCTGTCGAAGAATCGATCCGTGTTGTGGTCGACTTTAGCAAGCTCCTTGCGAATCCACTTTGCAATGCCGTTCAAGCTACTCTTGTACTTCCCTCGTGTTTCCTTGGTAACGCAGGCATCTCGGATTGCCTCCACGTCAGCTACAGCCATACCGCAGGCCGCGCTTTCGCTGGTCTGTTGCGCGCTTCCTTCACTCATTTTACAGTGGCTTCTGGGTAGTTTTAAATCAAGTTTTGGCCAATTGGAACAGCGTATAATCGTAAGACGATTCCACTTACGATTTGTTGGAGACTCGGGATGGCAAGGCGTTGTATAGTGAGCCCTTTGTCAAAATACGAGTAAGAATATTTCTTTTTGATAAAAGGTAAGTGGTCAGCGCTTACGAATTGACGCGAAACTCAATATATTACTTATGAAAGTACAGGAATCTTGAAATTGCATCTTTATAAGCTCAAAAGACCGAATCTAAAAAAAAGCGATTGATTTTTAATGCCAAGCAACTTTTTTCCGTGGATGCTTGCGATCTTTGGAGATCCTCCTGCCATTGTCATTTGATTTAGTAGCGACAGCTGGGCTGCAAGCAATACGACACCTTTTATATCTACTTTTTTCTTCATTGATAAATAGATTGTGATCCTCAACTCTATCGTCATCGTCCCGTGTACACTCGCTTATATCTTGCTAACCTTCTTGTCTGGCTGACCGTCGAGGCCTACAGAACTCTCCTCCTTTGTTGCTATCCCAGCACTTTCCAACGTCCGCTTTTCTCCTGGCTTCGTCGAATCATTTACAGAATCAGTCGATGGCCCAGACACTGCTAGCTTCGAAGCCGTGGTCGAAAGATTTCCAGCCTTCGCCGTCATTAATGAGCCTACAGTTGACTGGGGTGTACCAGTCTTCGTACAAGTAATCGGCGCTGCCGTCGGAGTGGAAGCAGTGGGAGCGGCTGGGGCTACAGGTGATTTTGTCTGTGTGGCCGCAGACGGAGTGTTTACAGTCTGCAGTGACGGCGTCGTAGTAACTACAGGCCTTGGCGTCACTGTACTCATCGTAGTCGTAGGTACTGCTGGTATGGCAGGAGTAGTAGCAGCTACTGTCTGAACCTGCGTCTTGGACGTCGCAGCAGCAGCCTGGAGCTTTACAGAGTTCGACATCATCGCATTCATCGCTGCCGCTACTGCTGCTGCCGTTGAGCCCGGTGCAAATTTCAGCTGCAGAGCAGACGGTGACGTCATGTGTTGCATCGTGGCAGACGTCGGCACTGGTGTCTGCGGATCCTTAGGACGTCGCGGCTTCACTATCTTCTCCACAGGCTTCTCGCACGTGTCACGCAGCACAATCTCCCGACCACCGACAACAACCTGCTGCGTCTTGGGTCGACGCTTGCGTTGATACTTTAGCACAGACATTCCACTCGGCGTAGCTACAGTCGTTGCAGTCGTACTACTGACACTCGAAGTTCCAGGGATAATGACGGGTCTACTTGCAGCTCCAGGGGCACTCAGTGTCCGTTGCAGATTCGCTGCTGTCGTGGGTAGCTGGGCACTTGTAGTAGATCGGTTCAACGTCACCGACGGGATGGTAGGCTTCGCCCCCAGAGACGCAAACGCCAGCGGCAGATGTGAAACATGCAGCGCGTTCGGCGCCTGTGGGAACATCACGGGCCGCATAAAGCCCATCGGAAGCCTCGCTGCCATCATGTTATTCGCAGAGATGACAGGTCTCACTGGCGTGGCGGTCGTCGTCGTGGCTCCAGTGCCCGTGAGTTGCCTCTTCCAGTACTCACTCGTAGCACTTGTAAGCGTAGGAGCAGGCTTAGGCACAGGACGCGGCACTTCTTTCTCCAGAACATGATACGTTTTCAGTCGCAACTTGCCGTGAGAATGCGGCAGCTTGTCATACGTTTTCTTCCCCTTGTCCATGTCGTTCAGGCGCACCACGAAGCGTCTGCCCGAATTGTCCACGTCCAAGTTGCCACACGCGTTCCCAAACACCACGTTGTCTTCTACGATCACATTGCCAGCGTGGTAGAGCAGACGCAAGCCGAAGCGAGCATTCCGCTGGATCTTATTGCGCCGTATCAGCGCCTGTCCACCCAGCACAGTCACACCCGAGTGCGCGTTGCCCTCCACCGTAGTCAGCGTCATAACCAGAGACCCACGCACAAGCAGCACACCGGAGCTACCAGCTCCACGAATACGGCAATTCTGAAGCACCAGCAACGTGTCAGCTGCGGGGATAGTGGTCGTAGCAGGCCGCGGTGTAGTAGCTCCTGGTGTGGTCACACGCGGCGTCACAGTACCTCCTGTAGACATCGGCGTCATAGCCTTCGGCGCAATATTCACAGGCCTGGGAGCTGTTGGTGCCACTATCCTCGTTATGGTACTCACTGGAGCTGGCGTCGTAGCACTCGCCAGTGTAGACACGGGAGGGACAGACACTGGCTTGGCAACTTGTGCTGCAGAGGTAGTAGACGCACTGGTAACCACAGATTGCGATGTCGAAGGCACAGCACATTGGCTCGTATTCACAGCAGCAGCCACCGACGGTGTAGTCACAGGAGTTGCTGCTGAGGCAGATGGCTTGACCGGTATAGTTGGCGTGACTGCTGTAACAGCTCGCGGTGTGGCAGCGGGGGTCGACGCCGGCGAAGGTCCAACGACTGGCGTTCCAGGCTTCGATGTCTGAGCCGAGCTTGCGCTGCTACCTGCACGACGTCTCTTCTTTCCCTTCTTCTTCTTCTCTCCACGTCCCCAGACACAGACACACGCATTCCCCAGCCCATTACCGTCAAACTCGCAGTACTGGACACGCAGTTGTCCGTCTCCCACCACACTGAGCAGATGCTGCCAGTTCGCCAGCTTCTTGTTCCGTTTGCGCAAGACTCGTCTGCTTTCCTTGACCGCAGACATCCCTTCCTTCGCATCACTACTCGGCTTAATCTCTCGCGCAGCTGCATCAGGAATGCTACTCGTTCGTGTCAAGTGGAAGCCACATATAACTCCTCCACGAGCACTCCAGCGCAGTTGAGCACGACACGAATGCATCTGCAGCTCCACGCGCGCGTCCGGAGCTGCCAGTAGTCTCAATCTTTTGTTGATCTCCAGCGTTTCGTCCAGCTGATACACTCCTGCGCCAAACAGAACCGTGTCACCTGTGGCCACGTTCGCCAGGACCTTGGCTAATGACGTCGGTGAGCCTGACTCGAAGTCGCTTGCGGACACCTTGAAGTACAGCGACTGATGCTGCGCGGCCGTGTGCCAGCTCCGACAGACCATCTGCGCACGATAGCGTTCCGGATACGGAGTCAACATCGACATGACACGATGTAATGCTGGCGGTGGTAGGCCTTCGTATCCTCTCTTGTGCGCGCTCTTGAGCTGCTCGTTACGGATCCACACGGGAGGACACTCCCACGTTGCCTCACGTGTATCCGCGTTGAAGTAGAAGGGCTGGCCACTGATCACGCACTTCATGAGCGACCACGCTGCACCTGTAAGAAGACGCTTTCGACTCTCAAAGAGAACATGTGCTCGCTCGCGTCGATACAGCTCAGTATACCGCTCTGCAGTCTGCTCAGCACTCGCCTCTTCGTTGTCATCCATCTGCCCAACAACGAGCTCACCTTCTGCAATCAGTCGCACTTCTTCCTCTCGCTTCTCCGCTTCCGTCTGCTCGATGTCTTCCAGCAGCGTAGGCGCAGTCGGGTTGACGTCTACGCCTGCTAGAGCTGCTGCTTGTTGCGCGGGTGAGTACGCGTACAGAGGATCCACATCTTCACGGAAATGAAGCGCATAGCGGTCCACTGGGTTCAATGAGTCCTCAAATCCTTGTAGAGATTGCACCGACGCCTTCCAAGCTTGCAGTTTTTGTTCCTCCGCAGCATCTCGCGCTTTCTCGCGAGCCTTCTCGCCATTATTTCCGTGCTGATCATGCGACTCCGATAGTTTAACACGCTTGGGCGTTTTTCTTCGGTCAGTTGAGCTGCGACGCGGTCGTTTTCGACTCGACTGCGGCGTCTTCTTGTGGTCCTCGTCGTCATCCATACTCTCGTGTTCCGACCCATCCGGCGTCGCTAAGTCGCGTCTACTTGCTCTTCTCCCCGTCTCGTCCGCTGTGTCTTCTTCGTTCCCAAACTCATCGTCTTCCTCGTCGCCTCTCTCACTTGCTGCAGTGCTGCCTGACACCACTGACGACGGCGTCGACGGCTTCGAAGACATGGCATCCCCAGCAGAGGCTACTCTCGCTGCATCGTCGTCGAACTCGTTCAGTTCCTGTAAATACTCGGCTCGTGCGCCTTTCATTGCCACGACGTCTTCTTCGTCTTCCAGCTGAGCCATGGCACTCTCCACCGTATCAAACGACACTTCCTTGTCGTCGTCCAGATCTTCCTCAGCGTCTTCATCCTCCGATTCCGACTCCACGTCATCCGGTTCCTCGCCCGTGCTCATCATAAGCTCACGAAGGCTCGCTTTCGAGAAGAAATCCGTCGTAAACTGACCCTCAGACATCACCAAGAAGTCCAGATGACGCTTCTGTTGCGCCTTGCGGAGAATATTCTCCTCCACTGTGTGTTCACTCACCAGGCGATAGATGTGAACGTCTCGCGTCTGTCCGATACGATGCGCACGGTCCTGAGCCTGCGCATCCATCGCAGGGTTCCAGTCCGAGTCGTAGAAGATCACAGCATCAGCACCCGTCAGATTGATGCCCAAGCCGCCGCTTCTCGTACTCAAAATGAAGCAGAAGATCTTCTCGTCGCGATTGAAACGCTCCATCAGCATCTGTCGCTTGTCCACTTTGGTCGCTCCGTCCAGACGGAAATACGTGTGGCCGTGCAGGTTCAAAAACGCTTCGAGAATATTCAGCATCGAGCTCATCTGCGTGAAGATGAGACAGCGATGGCCGCCGCGCTTTAGCGTCCGTAGAAGCACCGCAAGTTGCTGGAGTTTGCCGCAGTCGAACTGCACCAGTGCCTTGTCCGGGAAAAACAATTGCGTGCGCTTGAACGAGTTGTAGTACGGGGTCAAGACACGACTGGCAACTGGATGCGCGTGCTCCTCTTCCATCTCTTCGAGCTGTGCTCTGCGTGACAACACGAAGTTGTCGTCATACGCGAAGCCGCCGCCTCCATAGATCACACGAGCAGGTCTCGCACGGGCCTTGGGGACGTAGCACACAGACTTGTTGACCAACGACTGCAGAGACTCCAGTCTCTCCTCGGGGTCTCGCACCATACCTTGCAGAGCTTGTGTCGGCTCACGGGCGTCAAGAAACGGTCGCGCGCGATGCATGTGCACCTCCATGGCAGCTGAGATGAAGGTGGGCATCGTGCAAGCGCGGATCAGCGCATCTCCAAACACAGGCTCGTCCAGATACAGCCCCACGTGGATCTTTTGCAGCTGCGCAACACTTTCACGCTTCTGCTCCCAATACTCTCGTCGCTTCGCTGCAAGTTTCATGATCCTTCGTACGACATCTCTCTTGTCTCCATACGCAGACGGCACTATAGCCACAGAATCCTCAGGAAGAGGAGCACTCACGTCATAGAAGAAAAGTTCTCTCCGTCGTGTCGAGCTCAGCTTGTCCCTGCACTGCAACTCCAACCCTGGTAGATTCACCTCTGTCCACAGCGCTACACGTGGACGTTCGTTAACGATCTCGTCCACCAAAAACCCGCAACGTGAAGGCGCATGCACGAGGAGACTGGCCATATCCAACGGAGACGCGATCGGCCGTGGCTCGAACAAATCCGGATGGTTGCACACCTTCCGCAGCTGCATCAGGACGTTCATCATGCTCATAAAATTCGCGCCACGTCCTTTGCCACGACCAAACATGGCGCGTCGGGTGCTGCTACGCGAGATGAAATCCTCGTACAGGAATCGCTGTCGCTTGGACAGCTGACAATTGATCACGTGCTCAAACTTGCCTGGTAACTGCTTCGCCACATCCTTCTTCAGTCTTCGTAGCACAAATGGACGAATGATGCCGTGTAACTGCGTGACCAAGTCCTTGCCACCTTCGACGCCATTGTCCCCAGACTGAGTCGGATCACTCCCGTTCTCCACCATAAGCGCCAGTGGATTCTGGAACCAGTAGCTGAACTCCTTCCGAGACGCGAACACGTGCGGCATGAGGAAATGCATGAGCGCCCAGAGCTCCAACAAGTTGTTCTGCAGCGGTGTTCCAGTGAGCAAGAGACGACGTTGCGAGCTAAACGTCAGCAGCGTTTGCCACCGCAGACTCTTCCAGTTCTTGATGTTGTGCGCTTCGTCTAGGATCAGATAATACCACTTCTTGCGCTTGAAGCAATGCGCGTCTTGCACGACCAGCTGGTAGCTTGTGATGCATACTTGGAACGCGTTCTGCTTCGACCAACCTTGTCGCAGCTCCTTCCGACGCTTGGCAGAGCCGAAATACGTCAGAACTTTGAAAGCCGGACACCATCGCTTGAACTCCATCTCCCAGTTCACTAGACAACTGGTCGGGACCACAATAAGGTGAGGCCCCCAGAGTCCTTGAGCACAGGCGAGATGAGCCAGCAGAGAGATTGTCTGGATGGTCTTGCCGAGACCCATTTCGTCTGCCAGAATGCCATTGATGCGTCGCTCGCACATGCTGACGAGCCAGTTGACGCCAGCTTCTTGGTACTCGCGCAGATCCAGGCGTGATGTCAGCAGATAAGGTCGCTTGTAGCCGTTCTTCCTTGCTAGCGTTGAGGTTGTATCACAAGTTTGTGTTTCAGCCTCCTCTGCCATCGTCTCGTCAGTTGCAGGATGCTCCTGCTGTTTATCTACTGCGTCATCTGACTCGTTATCCTGGCTGCTGCCTGCCTCTTCGTCCGACGCGGCTGCATATCGAGCTCGAAGCTGCTCAATTGACATCTCGCCCTCCTCTTCAAGCAGCCTCAACTCTTCTGCCTTCTGCGACGGCGAGACACCGCCCTCCAATCGCTCCTCCTCTTCCATAGTCGTCTCGTCATCAGCCTGCTCCTCTTCGTCGCGTCTTGTAGGCACGAAATCCCTATCTCCAACGTCGTCAGTATTCTCCACCTCCATAATTTCGTCTTGCTCTGCTACTGTCTCACCATCAGCCTGTAACGCCTCAGCGTATCGTGCACGCAGCTCCTCTATCGACAATTCATTCTCCTCCTGCAGCTCAGCCATCTCCGCCGCTGCCTGTCTCCTCGACACCGGCCCATTCCTTTGTTCTTCAGCAGCAATCGTCGTCTCGTCGTCGTCCTCCTCTTCCGTCAGCTCAAACTCTCCATCTTCGCTACTGTCTCCAGCCTCGTCCATCTCCTCCACAGCAGCATACCGCGCTCTAAGCTCCTCAATCGACATCTCTGCTTCCTCCTGCAACGTCGCCACTTCTACCGCTGATTGTCGTTTCGAAAGGGGTCCACTTCTGCTCTCCTCAGCTTCGATCGTCATCTCGTCGTCTTCTTCCTCGTCCACCATCTCAAAATCTGCGTCACTGTCCTCACTCTCCATCGCTTTCTCCTCGTCATCTGCCTCCTCAGCCTCCTGGAAACTCGCAGCCAACGCCGTCGCGTACTTCTCCGTCTGCTCGACAAGCTGCACCAGATGTTTCTGCATGTGTTTCTGTCTCAGTTCGTCGGCCTGGAGCTTCACCTTGAAGGCGATGATCTTGTCGATCTTGGTCCAGAACTTCTTGACGTCTCTGCCCACTCTGGCGGCAGTTCTCCGTCTCGCGATCTCCTCGCTTTTCTTCTGTCGCGCGAGTCGCTGCTCCTGTCTGTCTAGATGAGACACTAGCGCCTGACTGAGCATCTTGGCGTTCCGTAGCCGCCATTTTCGCTCCTGGGAGAAGTCCGCAGCCATCCACTCCATCTCTTGGAGGAGATAATCTCGATGATACCGAGCTACATGTCGGCCCGACGGATCACAGCCCGGTTCAGGCTCCTTGTGCATGGTCTTGCCTAGCGTAAGATCCTGTATTTCACCCTCGAGAACGGATTTTCGCTCCAAGAGAGCGGATTGAAGTGCCACCTGCTCGCTCTGGGCGTCGGCAATTTGCTCATCTTGCCGCGTTGAAGCGCCCTGAGCGAGGGAGGAAGCTGCCGGCGTCTGTGCAGGAGGATGGACTACAGGTTGCGCGGCGTTAGGGGTGCGAGAGGACGCGCGGCGCCGCGCCTGCTTGAGTCGCGCGTTCGCCATGTCCGCCGATCCTAGCTTCGCCAGTGCGGAATTGGAATTTGGGGCGCAACGACAATGATGAATTTCGGAAAATGAAAATTGTAGATAATAAAAAAAAACTGAAGGGATTTGACAAAAAAACTAAGGCCGTGTTTCGATCTAAGCTAAAACCAGCCGTAATTGTTATTAAAGAGCTGGAATGTCTCAACCAGCTTTATTCCGCTAAGAAAATGACATCCAGCAGGATAGCTCCAAACGACTGGTTTCAAAATTCAGCTCTGGGTTAAATTTTGATTCGTCCTCCTTTGCCCCTTAAAACAGTGACAGTAGTTCTAAGACCAACGGATGGAGCAGCAGACGAAGAAACAAAGGGCGACCTGGAGGCGTGTGGATGAAAAGGCGCTGCTTAAGCACGGCCAATACTTCACGTCGATATCTGTTGGAATGCATATTGGAGACCTGACGACAATGCAGTTGAAGACCAGGTCCGAGACCCGTGCACAACGTAAGACTAACTAAGAATGAAGCTTCGATAAACTGAGAGACACGGGCCTCTGTATGGGAAGCGGGCTTGAACCCGTTTATTGGTTGTAGGAGCACGAGGGAGTTTGCAGAGTCCTCGAGTGCTTAACGATCTAATCTATTTACTTTCCATTTTCCTCTCTGGTGTGCAAAGGCTGCCTACGGATCCAGTGCAAACAACAAGAGGGTTCTGAGCCCAAAGTACGGACTTCTTGCTGCACGGGTAGTGATTCAAGATGGCGGAGCCATTAAAGTATACAAACGAAGGCGTTCCAAAGAATTGGAACGGGAAAGACTGGCAACAGTACAAGTGGGCAATGGGACTCGTCTTCAAGAAGAAGAAACTCACCGAAATTGTAGAAGGAACGATCGCCAGGTCGAGCCTAACAAATGCGGAGAAAGAGATAGAGTTCGACGACAGCCAAGTGACTATCATGCAGTTGATAGAGATGTTGCTGCCCGCGGACAAGTTACACTAAGTGAGGGACAACACCACTGGAGCAGCAATGTGGAAAGCGTTGTGCGAAATCTATGATTGCACGGAGAACAAGACGACCATGGATCAGAGGACAAGATGTCTACGCACTGAGTTGGAGAACATGAAGCTGTCACCAGGTGGAGATGTTAACGGACACTTGAGCAAGATGTTCAACTTACGAACTGAACTAACTTCCTTGCAGTATACTGTGGAAGATATTGACATGGTTGAGATTATGCTAGATAGTCTCCAAGTCAATATGGAGTTTGAAGAAGTTAAGGAAAGGGCTATTCGTTTTCAACGGGGGGGGGGGGAAACATATCCCACCGAAACGGGGCCCGCGAATTGAATCGCATTGCCGATTCTCGCCAAAAAGCATACAAACCCAAGGGCGGAGTAGGTCATCGCGGAGGATCAAAGAACGGAGGAAACGGTGGTGGTGCTAAGGACAAAGAAACCATTCAACAGCAAGGGAAGGCCACTGATCTCAAGAAGAAGCAAAAGAAGTGCTACATCTGTGGGAGCAAGGATCACCTAAGGAATGATTGTCCGGACAAGCCAAAACCTGTAAGTGCTGCTGGAGCTAATGCCATTGAGCAAAAGCGGAACCACGTGGAAATTAATTTGACAATTCATCAACCACCTTTGCCTATCGACACAGATGCTGAAACTCACGGAGTCGTAGCTGGTGAGATGGATAGAATCTTGATAGACGCTGGTGTTGAGGCACAGATCATGAGTGATGATGAACAGTCGCATTACGGTGACGCAAATCTAGAGTCAAGAGGCCTGCACATAATCCCGTTTGTAGACCAGGGGAATACAGGTAGCGACTGGTGGTATTTTGATACTGCTGCAAATGCTCATGTAATTGGAAATCGGGCGTACTACGTGGAGTTCACTGAGGATAGCAGTCTGACACAGAATGTACACGGGGTTACTCCAGCACTGGCTTCACGTATTGCTGGTGTTGGAGCGGTGGCTTTAGCAACTGAAGTCAACGGAGAACGGCTAGTAGTACATCTGCAAGATGTGTTTTACGTTCCTGGCGCTGAGTACGGTCTACTGTTGCCCGGTCTAGCTGCAGAACAAGGATTTGACTTCGAATATGATCGTCAAACAAGGACCTTCTTGGTGAAAAAGGAAGGCAAGACCGTGATTGTGGCTACACGTAACGAAGCTACATGGGAATTTCATGTGACGGATCCAACTGAAGGGTATGTCACAGTGAGTACTCAAGATCAGCCGATGGAAAATGTAACTGCAGTTGAAGGAGTTGCTTCGCTGAAATTGTGGCATGAGCGTCTAGGACATATTTGCCCGCAGTACTTGAAGACTATGGCTGACAAGGACATGGTAAAGGGCGTGATGTTGACGCAGCTTCAGAAAGAAGAAATCAGTGATGCCTGCCACATTGGTAAACATAAGAAGAAGCGACTTCGTAAGAAACTGGACAGAGGATTGAAGACTCCGAACCAAGTCGTGTATGCAGACTTGCTGATACCCAGTAAAGGGAACGAAACTCGGTTTGAGGCAGTTCTTGTGATAATGGATGGGTATTCTAGATTCGTTACGGTGCACATGTTGACTGGCAAAGACAGCAAAGTCGTCAACAAGCGCATGAAGGAGTACATCTTGTGGGCTGAGGGGCAAGCTGGCAGAAACTCGGTTTCTGGAACCAAGGCCAAGGTTCGAAAGGTAATTACTCGAATCCACAAAGTTCAGCAAGTATTGACGGACAAGGGTGGAGAGGTTGTGAATGATGCCATGGATGAATGGTATCGGGCTCAAGGCATTGAGCATGTTCTAATCGGTCCCAAGAGCTCTCAACTAAACTTATGTGAGAGGACTCATCAGTCGCTAGTGGAAATGACCAAGGCGACTATGCACGAAGCGGGGTATCCGAAGTCGCTGTGGCCGGAAGCTTTGAAGAACGCTGTGTACATCAAGAATCGGGTGTATAATAAGGGAGCTCAAGGAATTCCTTTTAAGATGATGTTCGGGGTTAAACCTGACGTCCACCACATCCGCAAGTTTGGTGCTTTGGCTTACGTCCATATACCGATTACTGCTGGTCGTCGCAAACACCACGACAATACCAAAATTGGGTTCGTTCTCGGATATGCTGAAGATGTTATCGGATACAAAGTGTATTTTCCCCAAGAGCACACTGCCAAGTTTGTTCCCGACCTACGCGTAGCTGAAGATGTAATGTACCGAGACCGTCACGGTGTTAAATTGACAGACGCAGATCCGGAGTCATTGCATTTTGAGCGAGATGAGGAAGTCTCTGAGACCGGAAAAAAGCAAAGCAGCAGTGGATCGACGACTATCGCAGACACCGAGCAGTTATCAAATGGTGAAGTCGAGACAGTGGATTTATAATCCCGTTGTCTCGAGGGAGGCGAGAAGATTAATGCCGTTGGTACATGTGAGTCTGGTGTTGGCGTCCGTCCGATGACAAGTGCTGTAGACATGACCATGATGAGTGGGGCAAGTGTCGGTGACCTGACAAAAGTGGATGGAGTTACTGTACCGATCTTGGAGGCAAACAGATCCCAAAACCTGGAATCAGAAGAGATTGGGACAAAGTCTTACGCTACAGTTGAGAGTCAAAAGGAGGTTAACGAGCGACAAAATGGAGTTGACACTTCGTCAAAGGCGTCTCAACTTGGCGAAAGTATACACGATGATGATCGAGAGTCCATTATTAGTGTGAGTGGGTCAGTTACTGAGTCACTAGTTGCTGAAGCAGGCGATGACTCCGAAGAAGGTAATGAAAACGATGAGGCTGACCAAGATGTGACAGTGGCCAGTATTTGTGGTTCGATGGATGTGCGTGACAAAGATAACGAGGTCGAAGACATTCAATTCGAGCATGAAACGATTGATGCAAGCGCGCTTCCACGAGGCCCTGCAAGAGGCCCTGCAAGACAAACAGGGAAACGCACACACCGTGATGAGACTCAATCGGAGGAGCATCGGATGGAGCAAGAAGCTGCGAAGCAAAAGCCTAAGCGAACCAGATGTGGATTGTGTGAGCTAAGCGAGCGTCGACGTCCGAGTTATTTGAACGACTACGTTGCAAATGTAGTGCAAAGTACCTCGCGTGTTCTTGACAAGAGCGGAAGACCTATACGGGCAAGCAACATGACGATTCCCAGGAACCACCGAGAAGCAGAGCGATCGAAATTCAAGGACATCTGGCGTGAAGCTGAGCTTGAAGAAATGGCTGCACTGGAGGCTAAAGAGTGGATTCAGTAGATACCGGGTACTGATGTACCACCTAACGCCAAGCCAATCAATACTCGCTGGGTATATGCAGTAAAGTCGGATCACCAAGGCTACGTGATTCGATTCAAAGCTCGGAGTGTAGCATTTGGAAATCACTAGAGACCTGGAATCGATTTTGTTGAAACGTTCTCTCCGGTGGCTCGCATGTCGTCGTTTCGGTTGATGGTAGCGCTTGCTGCAACATTGCAACTGAAAGTGTATGGAGGTGATATTAACACTGCGTATCTCAATGCACTGCTGGGGATTCGTCAATACCTGAGGTCGATCGACGGGTTTCCGTGTAAGATCGATGGGCATGTCTACGTGGTTGTAAAAACATTGTATGGATTGAAGCAGTCTGGTCGAGAATGGAACTCGGAGTTGAACGGTTGGTTGCTAGGACATGGCTATATTCATCCACTCACTGAGCCTTGTTTGTACTACAAGTTTGAGGGTGATACCATTATGCTAGTGCTTGTCTATGTGGACCATTCTGGTGGCGACAAGCAACGAAACCAGTAAGTGTAAGCTGTTTGAAGATCTCGATAAGGCGTATGGTATTAAAGACCAAGGATGTTTAAGTCAATATTTGGGTGTTGAAGTGGAGCAAACCGCAGAGTATGTTACTATTCGACAAAGCAAATACGCCAAAGAGATTTTGGAGACATTCGGATATGACCATGCGCATGCAGTGGGAAATTCAACGGAGACGAACGTACGACTGACTCCTCTTGATGAAGACGAAGAATCGGATACAAGTTTTTCGTACCGTCAAGCTATTGGGATGCTGATGTATCTGTCTACAGGAACAAGACCCGATTTGGCTTTTGCAGTTGGACAACTGAGTCGGTTTGTGGCTAAGCCTTTACTAAGCATGTCAGAGCGTTGAAGAGGGTGCTACGCTATCTAGCAGGGACTATTGACTACGGCATATCTTATGAAAGATCCAAGGAGGTGCCGACAAGTGTTGTTCTCGAGGGATACTGTGACAGCGGCAGAAGCAATGTTGAGAGGTTTGAGGTCGGTGACCATGTTTTATTAAACGCTAAAAAACTACCTACTCATGCAGTGTCTGCAGTCTTCAAGACGAAGTTAAGACCTCGGTTCATAGGACCGTTCAAGATCGTGGCCAGGAAGGGCCTAGCGTATACGCTCAACCTTCCGAAGAAGATGCGCACGCATCCGGTCTTCTATGTCGGCTTGCTTAAGCCATACCAAGACCCTGCTCAGGTGAGCGCGGAGGCGTTGGCACCAACGGTGGCTGGGCCACGGACAGCTGCAGGGCAGCAGGTGGTAGAGCCACGGGAGGCTGAACGACAGCAAGTGGTGGATCCACAGATAGCTGATCAACAGCATGTGGCAGAGCCACAGGTCGCGGAGCGAAGTGCTCGAGATGCAGGAGCAAGGCAAGCTGAACGTTCAGCCGAGAAACTGGACGCTCAAGGTCCGAGACCTGGTTGTGAGTCAACAGTGGTGGCTCTAACCTATCCACAAGGTGGATCATCTCTTAGAGATCGACCGATGGGCGGTGAACGTGAACGTTCGCGTCGTGGACGCCGGCGTCGTATGGACGCAGACACCGTTCCGGCAAGTGCTGACTCTCCCCGCGAGAGCCCAGCTGAGGCAAGGTCTCCTCCTGCTCTGCTCGATGAGCATGGTGATCTCCATTTTCACGTGGAACGCATTGTGGCGTGGCGTAGACGCCAGGGTCGTACCCAGTACTTAGTGAAGTGGAGGGGTTACCCTCACTCACAGAACTCATGGGAGTTTGAGGTTATCCTCCGGCAAGATTGCCCTGACGTCGTTGACGCTTACGACCGGGCACATCATGTGCCGAAGCGCCACCATGGCGTGCGACAGCGTCGCCAGGCGCTGGGCGCCTCCCACTAGAGTGAGGAGCGATGAGGTCAGTAGTTGAGCTCAGGCTCTGACCAGTGGCTGCAGCAGCCAGCTCGTACGTATGAGCGGTGCTCGCAGCGGGAGCAGGAGGTGGAGAGACCTCGTAGTGTTAGGGACATGGTCCCGAAGGAAGCAGGTGCTTCGTGTTGTGCTGAACAAGGCTCAGGCACAAGCGTCTCGATAGACGCATAGTTGTTCTGAAACAACTTGCTCGATGAGCATGGTTCAAATGTGGATGCGCTGTAACAGCGAAAGTGGTGTCCCGGAAACGGGGATCGAGCCAGTGGCCTTTGGCTTGACAGGCCGGAGCTCTACCATTGAGCTATAAGGGCGATGCCCGTACGTCAGTCCGAGAACGGACTACTCATGGTATGAGAGGGCTGCGCCCGGGTGGATTTGAACCACCGACCTGTGGCTTTCAAAGCCAGCGCTCGACCACTGAGCTGAAAGGGCGTTGCCCTTAAGCTTGTCCATTCAAGGACAGCAGTTCATGGAACGAGAGGGCTGTGCCCTGGTGGGTTCGAGCCACCGACCTGTGGCTTCCAAAGCCAACGCTCGACCATTGAGCTAAAAGGGTGTTGCCCTTAAGCTTGTCCAAGCGTGAACAATCGTTCATGGAACGAGAGTGGGTTTGAACCACGGACCTATCGCTTGTGAAGCGAGTGTTCAACCGCTGAGCCGTTGTCGACGACTCGAATGAGTCAAGAGCATTGCTCTAAGCGGTTTGCAGCTCTTGGAATAGGCGCGGAGCGCGAGCGTAGGTCTGAGACCGTATGAGAGCAAGATGCGCGCTGCGCTTGGAGCATTGGGGCGTGGGCCGACGACGAGAAGTTGGGCATCAACGATGCGTAGGCGTTTGTGAGCGAGCTCACGGAGCTGTACAACGCTGGTGTGAGGTGTAGTGACCTCCGCCGTCTTAACAAGACGTGACGTCGCTGAGGAGAGTTTCGAGAACGGAATGTTCTCATCTTAGTGGGGGAGAGTGTAACGGGGTTACATGGTGTGGAACACACAGAGGTACGAAGTACCCGGAGAGTTAACAAACTCTCAGTACATAAGTTGGAGAGTTAACTAGGTCTCTCAGTACGTTGGCCGAAAGCCACACGTTAGGCATTTGATTAGGTTTAGCTATGCTAGATAGTTAAACAGATACATTTACCACTAGGCGGCTTGGCCGCAATAATAGTAAATAAAACACTTCTGGTTTTGAAGCATAAAAGTTAAGGTGTTAACTTTGAGCCCTGGTCTTGGGCTGTAAGTGTCCTTTGGATAAGGAACTTAGTATCAGTGACTCTTTGAGTCGAACGTCTTCCTCTGACGCTAAAGCTACGGCAGCCCCGCTGCAGATGCACTTTGAGATGAGCTTACACGACAACAGACATTCGATGCTACACAGCTGTGGATCAAAACTTACGTAGTTTGACTTATCCTGAATATAATGCACCTTAAAGACAAAAATATGTGCAGGGTAGAAGCTACGTTGTCGTTCGTCGCCCCTTGGAAGGTGTTGGCGTTGCAGGCGTACCCGGAGTCGATGGAGTTCTAGGTGCTTCAGCCGGTTTCTGACGCATACGAACCCCTTTGCCATTTTCGAAAGGGATGAGCTTTCCGTTCATCCACTCCTTGTGCCACACATCCCACATGTCATGGCGACCCCAAGCACTTGTCGACGCGCCCGCATGCGTAGGTATACTGGCCTTTTGTTGCTACAGTTACCCCAATAGTTTGTAGTTGTTGATGCTCGCTGGGTGTCTGTTCGAAGCAGCGAGCACACCTTGCATGTCCTTTTCCATCTTTTCCCTTGTGTTCCTTCGTTTCTCCATTCATCTACTAGACGGGCAGTGTGTCCAGTTGACTGGTTCGCACCGACAGGGACCGGTACATATGCAGCTCTGGCTTGGCTTGGTGCCGATTGTGTTGGGCTCATATATGTCTGGTGCTTGTAGGCGACACAGTTGAAGGTGGAGTTTCTTCATGTACTTCACGTGGGTAAGTGGTCGTGACTGCTTGTTCTTGTGAAAGTCCTTATGGACTATGTATTCATTTACAATAGCCAACTCAATGAGCCCCAGTGCCAACGACTTACAGTATTTTCTAAAACGGAGTGCACGCTGGAGAAAGTAACACTGCAATCTCAGCTGATCATGGACATCCACGCCACCCATGTACGCTTGATAATCATTTACGACGCTGGGGCATGGCACTTCTTCTTGCGTGGGACCATTCTGTCGCACCACCCGATCCAGTTCAAGGCTTCCTCCCGTGCTGAGAAAGTGTACAGGGCGAGAATCCCACCAACATATTGCTGACATGTTTGGCATGAGCCTAGAAGTAGCCACCTTGTACGACCCACGCGTAATCCCGGGTGGACGAGTCTTCTTCTTCTCAGAGACATCTTTGCTGTATCTCAAGCGGCTGGTCATGATTGTTCCCACGAAGTAAAACCCCATCAGCAGCAGCTGAATAATTAAAGCCACAGAAATATAGAGCCGGTCGATGACGACAAGGTGCATTCCCTGCTTTCTCGCGTCCGGGCCAAATGCAGCAAGCAGGTTTCGGACAGCAGCAGCAGGGCCTAATTTCATGCCGGTCTTGTGGGCGTCGCTAGCGTGCTGTTTCTTACCGCAATATGCTTCAAACCTGCATATATTCAGCACACAAGACACAAAAATGTCAGACAAAACTGCATAATGCACGATAGTAAAAAGCCGCTTCAAAACAATTCGGACCTGATGCAGAACGATGTGACTGCGCTGCATAGCATGAAGAGCTTGATGCCCCACTTGTGGGCTTGTCCTTCATGTAAATGCGCATCTTATTGAAGGATGACCGACTGGGTAAGACTGCTTCGTCGAACGCCAAGTGTGATAGCGCAACGTATCCACGAAGAAAGGTGTACTGCAAGACGTCTACCAACTTGCGGATTTTCCAGGAGCGATATGTTTGAGCCCTGGGGTCGTTGTTTGAGTTTAAATTAAGATTGCGTGCAATTTCCATGAATCAGTCTCTAGACAGCACTGAGCTGAAACACCCTCGTGATATAGCGCCCTCATCCGTTATCTTCCAGTGATGAGCAAGTTTTTCTCGGTTCGTAGCAATTGTACTTGCCACCAATAGTCCAACAAACTGGCACAGTTCGTGTGGTGAGTTAGGCTTCATGCCTTCCAACTTGTGCTGAATATCTCGCCTTGTCTTTCTTGGTAACTGCGGGTTCAACCTCCGCTTCCGGTGATATCGGTAAAATGTTTCGTCAATATGACGTGGTAGCATCTCCCGGTGATACTCCGTCGAGCAAGCAGCGATGTGTTGCCACAATACAACAGGAAGAAAGTAAAAGAAGAGTCCAATTGGAGAGTCTCATCTGCGCAAAACGTCTGCAGTTGGACGCGAGTACCCTTGGCGAAGGCCAGGATAGCTTGAAGTATTGTCGATGGGGTCGTACGGCCCCTGCATGTACTCGGCAGTATCAGGTTCAATGACATCCCCCAATAGCGGGCATCTCATGAAGGACAGCGCTCTTTAGGTTTCCAGCAAGACCTTCATCCTCTCTACCAAAACTATCAAGAAAATATTCCGCGAAATGAACCTCTGCAGTGATTTCGTCTTCTGTCGGGACCAGATAATCACCAATGTCGTCAGATGCACAATAAATTCCCGCCTCTTCATTCGATACACACTCTGCAGTCTCCATGTCATAGGCTTCCATCTCATCACCCGAATCCAACTTTCCTAACTGATGTTCAATGACGTGATCAATAACCACGTTCAAATCATCGGTGCTATCAGCAAGAAGCCTGCTACCAAGAGCAGAATCTTCTCCGTCTTCATTAGCATTATCTAAAGAACAGCACATAATTATATGTCAGTATTCAGATTAACATACATCATACTATGCAGTATATAATGCAGCGTAATATGCAGAGCACTATGCAGTGCATTATATTGCAATATATTCAGCATAGCATGTAGTATACAATGCAGCATATAGGATAAGCGGAGACCCTGACTGGGTACTTCTATCGGGGGGGGTTGCCATAGGACTTGGAGTATTCATCAAAGAGCGACGCGTCGGCGCTCGCTGTGATGACAACTGTGGCCTGCTAGTAGATTCACGTACGGGGACGGGACGCACACCGTTATTTGGCTGGTTGGTGGGGACTCGTTGAGAAGTAGCCTGAACTCGGGCTCTTGCTTCTGCTGCTTCGATATCAGCAGCGTAGTTTTCACGGACGATAGCTGCGGCAGCTAGTTGATCGTCTCCAGGAGGACTGGGTAGGACGCCTACCACATGGTGTCGCAGTTCTACAAGCAACAAACTTGGTATTAGACATCAGCTGCAAGTAATACACACACCTTTTGCGTAATGCTCCAATACTGCTTGTTCGCCACGGAAGTAATCGACGCCTTCGCTCCCCTTTACGTTCTTACCGGGAGGCATATAAAAGTAGCGGCCATCGAGACTGCGGCCCGAAGGTGGTTTTCGTGTCCACCCGTCCTTCTTCAGCTCTCTCCACACCGACTTGAAAGATAAGTCGCGTGCGGTAGCTTCGCAGTCTCGCGGCACTTTGCCTCGGACTCTCGCCATCCTCCTGCGTCTTCGGTCCTCGGGGCGTAAAATTTCGAATGAGAGACATTTGGAAAAGGCGGTGATCGTCGTTGGCTGTGCACCACTCACTGAGTGGGATCAGCCCGTTACCTCCGGTAGGTAATACAAATAATCTAGATTACGATAATATCTTACAAACCTCGCAAAGTTGATCTTTGGATTTAGACAAATGTTGCCCCGTTTAACCTCTTGACGATAATGGTAGTCCTGCATTATGCAGCACCCGGTTTCGAGGGGTTATAATATTTTTATTTGGATGTGTGGTGCCTGTAAAACTTCGACTAAAACATTTGGCATTTTTTCCTAACCATGGTATTAATAAATGTCCTTAAGTATATACATATACAAGTCTGAATGTAGTGACACATTCTTAAGCGATCGGAATGCTGTACATTTGCTGACATCAGATCAAACTGAATACTATTGTGAGCAGGGGTCAATGGTAACTCCAAAATTGGTGAAGATAAAAAAGATAATAATATCACCTGGTAGACCACTTAATATAAAACATCACCTAATATTTTTCTTCTCAAATAAATAATACTATAAAAACAATTTTAGAGTTACCATAATAAAGTGATAATATCACCTGATAAACCAGTTAATATAAAAATATTATTAGATATGTTATCTATGACAATATAATATTCAAATTTTTCAACTTAATATTAGTAAGCACAATAAATATTTTTCGAAGATTGCAATAATCCACCAATCATATGTCGCTAACGTTCGACTAGCTGAAGTATTACTAATCAACAGCGAGGGAAATAGAGTCCGGGACAATTGTGAGAGTGACGGCAAGGTTGGTGTGGTGTGTTGGCACTGCTGAGCGCATTAACATAACATAGCGTCACAGGCTGCAGGTTTATGAGACGCACGATCTGGACGAAGCTATCGGCAGAGAATAAGAACAAATACCTCGATTTCGCTCAATCGACTTCAAACAGCTGCAACCGTTTGCAGTTTTCACTGTCGGTCGGCTTTGCCTGTGTCACAGTGAAATACTAGAGCAAATACTCGTCAGTTTTAAGGCCTGTCATCACTAGTGCTGGCCGTAAGAATCGTTTGGATGGCAA